GGTGGAGGTTGGGCTGTTTAGGAGCTTGGTCTGGGCACTGAGTGCCATCTCTAAGGAACAGCCTCTTTCATGCCACTTAAAGAAACGACATTTCTGTGAATTGATGTATTCTTTACCCCAGATGATCTTTTACAATTTATGGTGCAGAAACACAAAGGCAACTTTGATGGCAGTTTTAAGTATTATTATTTTCTTCTTTGTAGGTGAATTTGGCAGAAACTGAAATAACTAAAATGGCATCTGACTATACTGAAAATGAATTAGAATTGTTCAGAAAAACAGTAAGTATGTTAGTTATTAGGTAGCAAATCACTTTATTTGTGAAGGTACCATCTTAAAATGCATGAAAATAGAAGTGATTTTTTCCACACATGAAGTTTTCTGTACAAACTGGCAAAAGGTGCATTGCCTGTGCTGTGCCACCTGCAAAGCCCAGTCTGCATGATAGCACCCAGAGATTTCCCTGCCCTCCCCCATAACTGGTGCAGCACCTCTGCAGCCCTGTCACTACTGCAGCAATGGCATTGTCAGGGCACACAATCCTACTGGCATAAAAGCTCTATATGCTGCTCTGTGATAATGAGCAGCAGATGTTTCCAGTGAGAGACTCTTTGCAGCTTGGCAATTCTGCTACAGCCTTCACATGCCAAGTAAGTTCAGCAGTGCTACTGACTCCAGAGTGGGCAAACTTACACTTACTTGAGTAGTGAGAAGGTTTTCCTCAAAAGAGCCTTGAGAAAGACTGAGTAAAAAGAAATGTATCTCTCGCCCCTGAGTATGCTCAAGGTCCCTGAATGCAGCTTCATTTAGGCAGCACTGTACAGTTGTGGAAATGTTTTCTTGGCAAAGATTAAAGCTGTCACGGTAACAACAGCTGTTCCAGCTTTTGGCCTTTGTAACAGTCTGGGTCAAGCCATATACTGTAATATATCTCCTATGTATGGAAGGTAAAAAAGCTGCACGTGACTATAAGGTGTGTCTTGTCTAATTGCATGGGTGTGTTTAATAGTTGAACATGTTTCTTTCTGTAGATGGACCTAATCATTTTATCAGAAAATGGCTTTGCCTCTTCTACAGATATTTTAAACTTGGCTGACCAACTTAAGACAAAGAAAATGAAGAAAAAGGAAGCGGAACAAGTGCTGAAAGTTTTTGTGGAGGATAAGTGGCTCTCTGAGGTAACTGCTATATCTTCAAGTGTCTGTATTTTAATAGGTCCAGCTATTATTTTCTATGGCTGAAACTGGAGCTGTTTGTTAATGATGGCAAAAATGGTTTTGTGGGGCATGTGCTTATTGCTGCTTCAGTGTTCTTCGCAGAAAAGGTAGTACCTTGACAAGGAAGAAGTCCTTGGCTAGGTCTGTACAGGACAGGATTCCAGTTCCTTGCCCCTGAGCTAGGTGGGTGTGTGTGTACAGCCCTGCACTGTGGCATACAGACCTCCTTGGTTCACACAGCATGGCTTACTTAAACTCGGAACAAGACCTGAGGAAAGCTCTTCAGGGTGATCAGTGCCATTATAGTTAATGTAAGCGTTAGTTGTAACTGTTAAAGTTTAAGTTTAGAATATCCTGAAAAGCTGTGAGGCCAGACATGTTGAAAACTCCTGTACCAGACATGCATGGGCATAAAAACGTGCACATTTTTAAATCTCCTTTAATTTTCATGAGGAAGAAACTGAGATGAGCTTACCATGTGGACACTGCAGTTGCTTGCCAGGACAAGTGAGACCTCAATCCTTCTTCTCTGGATCCGTGCATCGCAGTCTCCAGCCTGCTGCCACACGTCTACTTATGTCAGTGATTTAGCAGAGATTTTCAAAGATGCCTCAAGCAGCAAATGCAAAGATTTTGCTGAAAGCCAGCAGAATTTCTGCTAATGTGCAAATGGAAGGTCCAAAACCTGCATGTCTTTAAGGAGAGCACGCTTGCTAATCTATACTTCTGAGAACTAGATAAATTTCTGTTAAAGGTGTGAGATCTTTATTCTGATCCTCTAAACACATTAATTCTGCTACCTCAAAACACTTTGCATTGCATCAGTGTCAGCATGTTAGTTTTATGGTGGCAGAAGAAAGTGGAAGTCAGATGCTAGCTCGCAGGTGACCAGAAAAGCCAAGAAGGTAAAAGGAATTAAAAGAAATTCCTCATCTTGCCACTTATTTCCTTAGAGAAATGGAGAATTTACTCTGCATACTCGCTGCATAATCGAGATGGAACAATTCATTCTCAGCAACTACCAAGATGTGGCAAGGAAGTGTAACATCTGTCACAGCCTTGCCATCCAGGTAACATTTGTTTTATTACCTCAGTGGGCATCTGCCGATGTACTTATGTGGTCATAGCTGAAGTTTATTATACTTTCCTTTGAGTATTAGGCAGGCACTGAACAATTCTGGTCTTGTAACCTGATAATGGTGCCATGTATGTAAAGAACCCCCCACCCCTCTTATTTTTTTCACTGTAGGTATTTTATCTTCTGTTTTAGGAGGAAAACTTGTTTTGGAACAGCATCTCCAAGTATAAACTCAGCAAAAGCCCAAGCAAGGAATGTTGTGCTGTCCTGCTTTCCAAAGCCAGCTAGAGATGAACCCCTTATCCTTAAACAGGCAGAACAGTCAAGAGTTAGCTCTCCTATCTCCGGACCTTACAAATAGCAGCCTTCACGTGACACATGTTCACCTTTGGTCCTGGGATTTTGGTTAGGAATTGCTTGTGTCCTGGACTTCAGAATGAACATGTATGCTTGTATACAGCATGCTAAAGCACTGTATTTTGGTAGCTATCAAGTTACCAGTTTAGTCTTGCTTTAGTGGTTACAGCCTGGTTACTATTGCCTTCTCTTGCTCCTTGAACCTGCATCTTCTCATTTTCCCAATTAACATACTTGATGTTAGTTTTTCCATCCCAGTTGTCTCCTTTATTGCATCCAAACAGCTCAGGTTAGTTTGTCTTTCAAGCTAAGTTTTGTCCATATAGGGAAATAGTATTTCCTAGTTTCCAGGAAAATACCTCCTTTATCATTTAGCAGCTTTGACTTGAGTATCCAGCGGCTGCACTTTGCAATGCCCCAGTGCATGCCTGCTGCCCTTTTAACAACTTCACAATAAACTGAAGCACAGATTAGACAGATTTTCTTTTTCAATGCTTTTGATTTCAGAGCCAAGTATGTGAATCCTGTGGAATTGGAATGCATTTACCTTGCATCAGAAAGTACTTTAGAGCTCAGACTGAACCTCGCTGTCCACAGTGTAATGATTTCTGGACTTGTGACATCCCAGGTACCAAGAACCTATTTAAAACAAAAAAAGAGGAGTATAATAATACTCGAGAAGGGGCCGATACCCAGGGCACTGCCTGTGTTAGTGACAGCTCTAGCTGGGTTGATGGTTATTTTTGACTTCAGCTCTATGTTTCATACAGAAAACCACACACAGACAACAGTGAGCCCTGAAAGCACAAGGGTTATGTCTTACGGTCACGAGCAGGTAACGTGCATGTTGTTTGTAACGGGAGAGTGGGGGACACAGCACATCACACCTTTGGAAATACTGAGCTTCCAAGAAGACCACAATCTCTTTGGAATTCCTTTATTTAGCCAAGGAAATTGGACACTGAACAGGAAGACAGGAGTGTATAAAACAGTTTAGAAATCAAGGCTATACAGTATCACCCTGTTTTATGTGGCTGTCATTGACCTTCTGTTTGTTTTCTTCACAGGTGTGAGTCGCACAGAGTCCCAGTCACCACCAAAACCAGGGAGAACAGAGAAGAGCTGCATGCTGAGCACGAGACGATCCTAGGAAACCCAGCTTTCAGTGAAATCTCTTTTCCCTACTCTTGCAGAACACCCAGGCTTGTGTTGTATCCATTAGCAACAGACAGAACAGTGGTCAGAGTACTTCATTTTTCCTCAGGCTTTTAAGCATTTTACAATAAAATTATCATTGACCTCCCTGTTCTCCTCAGTTATGCCTGCACAGCTCCCTTGGAGGCTGTTTGTTCTCCATGCTCTTGGGCTGGGACACAACTGAAAATGGAACCTGTTCCTACCTAGCATCACAGGGCTTCAGGTAGGTGAAAAATCAGTGCAGCACTTGTGGTGTCCTCACTAGGGCAGGTGGCTGAATATCTGACCTAGGGCTAGAGTTTGAATGCTTTCAGTGGGCACTGTTGCTTGGGTTTTGTCCCTTCTGGAGACACAAGAGAGTTCATCCAACAGAAGGACAGGTTGTGAGCAGCTGTGCTCAGTAAAAGAGGGAATATTCCCACAGTCAAAAGGATTGGGCAGGAGCAGGACAGGACTCTGGGGCAATGCCAGCTTACGTCTGCGAAGTGTGGAAAAAATTGTAATCAAAGTTAGCTTTTAGTATTAGCACTTCACTGCCCAGTTTTATGTAAGGATGCTTTTTCCTTTAATAGTGACAAAAAAACCCAGAAGGACCAAATCTTGCCAGGTGCCACTGTGGAATGGCAGCTTATCTGCAGAAGGCAGATATTTGAAGTATGATTAAGCATCAGCTGCAATTAAACCCATGGATTAGCCACAGTTATATTCCTAGGTCTTAACACTGGTAACTTTTTCTGTATAGGAGACTGGCATCTTGCTACCTTTGGGCAGCACCATCCCTTACTGCTTTCCTAACTCCCAGTTTGTTATTAAATCCAAGTAGAAGATAACACTAACCTGATGTGCCAAATACAGTTAGAAGCAGAGTCCTGGCAATGCCCATAGATAGAGCTCTTTCAGATGCACACACACACACGATGATGAGCTAACATAAGCTCTTTATGAGGGGTTCATATTTGAAACACCCACAACACTGAAGTGGCTGCAGCATCTTCTATTTATCCATTCAGATTCTTTCACGACGCTGAAGCAGGAGTTTGTTGGGGTTTTTAATCCACCTCTAACCTCTGGACAGGGAAGAACATTCTTGTGCTCAAGAAGAATTCTTAATTCCTGTTGCAATGCTAACAGACTTTCTGCATGCTTCAGAGCTATGACCACCAGAAGCTGACTGAGAAACTGATATCAAGCGATCGTACATAGTGCCAATATTTAACTGGAATAAACAGAACCTGTCCAGGCATCAGAATACAGGACTGACATGGAGCCTTTCTGAAATTGGGGAACTTAACTAAGTCAGGGTCTTCCACATCAACCTATGAAAAAACAAAACAATCATCAGGGTCTCTTTTCTCAAATCCAATTTGATAAAACAACATTTCCGATACCAAAATTTCAGGCAATGATTTACCTGACTTGTGTTGTGAAGAATTTGGCTTTCATGTGGGTACAGGTTTTCTGAATCTTGTGGTGAATACAGGCAGATATACTTCCTTCCAAATACCTGTGTATATCACAGTAAACATTTTCCATCTGTCATTAACCTGCACATTACATTACAAACTGTGGCCAAGGCTGATACTTCACAGTAAAATAGACCTGATCACAAGAAACATCACTGTCTTTGTTCACAATAAACAGGCACTGCTATAGTAAGAAGTAAAATCAGACTACTGGGACTTGTAAAAACTCACATTAGGAAGGCCTGAATTAAGCCTCAGCTTCAAGTGAAAACACTAGTTAGCAAGATGCAAGTGTTTGGGACAGAAGAACTAAGGCTCAACCCATAAACAGACACAACTAGAAAGCATTCAAGGTCATGATCCTCCGGAAGGTGTTTGAAAGTGTAAGCTGTTAAAGAAACAGCAAACACAAATCCCATCAGTGTGTGAGGCTGTCAGCTGTTCGGACCAGGAATACATCTTCGGACTTACATATAGACATATGAAGCAGGGCCCCAGCGCATTGCTGTGTCACTCTGAAGCCTACAAACAGAATCTCCCTTAGCAGCAATGAGGTCACAGTGCAAATATTACTTCATCTGACTCTCAATGCATGCATGAGTAGGTATTTTACTGGGTAGCCTGCAGTTGTTAAAGTATGCACCTACATTCACCCCAAAATCTTGCCGTTATAGGAAGGCAAGTTCCTTGGTATGCTATAACAGGATCTATGTTCTTTGTAACTCTTACAAAATCTTTGTGTGACCTTGAAAAGCTGCTTCTTGTGATATCCAATTATCATCTGCAAAATGAAGTAATGATCAATCTCAATGAGGAGCACTTGTGGCCTACAAGATCACGTTGCAGTAGCAACAAATGCAGTAGAAGAGCAAAACAATATCTGCGTGTGCCCTATCCTTCAACTGATCCTCAAGTTGTCTGCTACCCTTGTCTCCAGCACTTAAGACACTGTAAGCGCTTTTTCTAGGTACAGCATGTGCACAGTAAGCAGAGTACAGACCTGGGCTAAGAAATTTTGCTGGGGATCCTGATGAAGAGGTGAAATAGTGCCTTCTGGACCAAACCAAGCGTTGATGGTGATGTGATCTTCATCCCCTTCTCCCAGGCAGCAGTAGTCAGGGATACTGATATCTTCTTTCAATTCTGGGATCTACTCCCATAAAGAAATAAGACGTCAAAAGGGTTTGTGCTGACTTGCTTAAGGTGTGTCATTCACAGAACAGAGGAACAAGGCTTGACACAAAGAAAACAAATGACCTGCTTGTCCAGCAAAGGCAGGAGAGAAGTAGCTGAATTGCTAGGAACCTGCAGGAAATGTCCTCCCACCTTCTGTCCTAGCAAGCAGATTCTGTTGGAAGGAGAAGTGGGAGAAAGAAAGGGATTTCTCATTCTTCACAGAATCTGCGAGATTCCTTTTTACATCTCCCATCAACCTGATCTCTGGCTAACTGGAATGACATTTCAGAATATGGTGAGCATATCACCACTGAAGTCTGTTTCTTGTCCAAACCTATTCCCTGATTTACATATTCTTTAGGGAAATGCTGCTTTCCAGGTGATATCCCTATATGCTTATGCTACATTGTACTGAAAAGCACCAAGACTGAATGTCTTCACCCCTTGAAGAGTTTTGTTTCCATGCCTTTCAGCCAAATGAACCCAACCCCTCCCTCTGTTCTTTCAAATTGTGGGACTAGAAACGTAAGAAATACTGTGAATTCTCTGTATGTCCTTCCATCTAGTAGAGTTGACATCCTCAGAGATGGCAAAGGGACTGCAGAAAGATAAAAACATGCACTCAGTTTTACCTGATCAAAAAGCTGGTGCTGGGCAAGGTATCCAACACTCTTCTGAAATCACAGCAGAGACAGAAAAAAACACAAAACCAGAGTGACACATAGTGTAAGACTTCTCAGTCAGTTAATTTTCTTATAGGTGAGTGGAATTTACTTATAGGAAACAACCATTTCAGTGTCTATTTCAGAGTACTCGAATTGTTTCAACAGTTGACGGAATAAGTGGTCTTCTGAAATAGTAACAGAATGGCGAGTGCGGCTGTATCCCCACCTCCAACACAAGCTCACCTGAAGCAGCCAGTTATAACCCTGCAGCGCCCACCAGCTCTGCTGCCACTCCCGTGACAGCGCTCTGCATCCTTACTGCCAGACCCTGCTGGAACACAGACTGGGTCACCTTCCCCCCGTAAGCATCCTGGATTCCATTCCAGGCTGTACCACAGATCATGTGCACATGGTCCTCCCTGCCAGAAGGCTAGGAAATGGAAATGGGGGCTCTGGATCCTCAGCTGGGAAAGTCAAGGGACATTCAATTGCTAATCCAGTTCATATTCTTTCACCTGGTGGCACAGGAATTTGGATCCTACATCTCACTAAGCAGTTTAATAACTCAGAGAAACAAAACTGCTGGCTGAGTATTCCCTATCCTTACACTCCACCACTCAGGCTTTTGCTGCAGAAGGTATCCATCTGTTCATCAAATTCCAGCTGCCGTACACTTGATTATATATAAAAATCATTGTTACAATAACTATTAGTAGGTTCAGACCTTGAAAACATCAAACCTTCTGAGTTGTGCTTATAGCACACCCCTCCCTGACTTCACCTAAGCAGAAATTCGGTACCAGTAACACTCTGCTGTATGAACCAAAACGAGAGTAACAGACCTCATTCACAATATAGTGGCTGATGAAGTCACTGACAGTCATGAGCTTCTGAGACCATTCCTCATCTGTGTATCGGGTGCCCAACTCCACAGGAACTGTGCGGCACCCAGCGACTTGACAGAAATAGTCCACGCTGAAATAAAGAGAGTTCCGTTACCCCTTTATAACGGCTGCTCTTACTGACTTTGAACACAAGGCAGTCAAACAAACCCAACCTTTTAGAGTAACAAAACTCTACTACCATGATTTCTTCCCCTCTAAAACCAACCAACGAGACGCAAAAGGCACCAGAATAGGACAGAAGCAGCAAGGAAACAAGCAGTCAAGTTTGTGTGTACATGATGCCACAATGTCCTTCTTGTTTTGTTTTCAAAGGTTGTTCACCTCTGTTAACTCTTGCTTCCTACCAGCTGAGGAGATTTAAGCTGTCAGTCTCCCTTGCCTAGTGATAGCTCATCTTTCTACTGCCTGCTGCCACATTTGCTAAACAAATGCTTTAGGTTTTCATCATTGTGCCAGACCAGCTCTCCGTCAGTGCCAAACTGTTTGCAGGTGCCAGTAATACCCATCCTGGCTAAAAGTGGCGGAGTTACTTTGCTGGGTGGCATACATCTCTCCACTGGCGATGACATTCACTAAACACAGACATTCAGCTTTTCATCTCTAAGTGTCTGAAGTTAAGCAGTGGTATGCCTTCCCTCAAAGCAGAATAAAACCCCTATGAAATAACAAGTGTGTTTCGTTAACCCTTGGTTAACCCTGACTGGTTAGCAAGCGTGTTTAGTCAGTTTTACCCTTGGCTGTGGAATGAAAGCAATTGCTCAAACTAAGCATAAGTGTTCTTTCCCCTTTTCCAAGGAATCACGAGCTTTACCTCACAAATACTCGATTCTCAGTGTTGGAAACGTTGGCTCCGTTGCTTACATGACACACGCAGCACAACGTTATTACTCACTCCTGCATGGCGGTGTCGGGAACTCAGACTCAAACGCGCACCACGAAGGGAAGGAGCCAGTCACACCGACCCACACACCTCCGAAATGCCCTTTCCGAGCTGCAAACCCCGCTGCTGCGCCTGGCCCC